TCTCATCATGAAAAGTGTAAAACATGTCCATCCTCACAATTGGAATTTTGCCCTTCAGCAGTTTTATACCCACTTTCCCTGACAATAAAATTGTTTTTCTTTGTAAACATTTGTTTTCCTGTTTCATTAATGTGTTGATTGTAGTCTTGGTGCAATCGCCCATAATGTAATTAGATTTAGAAAATAATGTTAGTCTAGTGAAGAAGGGAATAAGCAAGTATTAAATGTCTTCAAGGCCTCACTGATAATAGGCTGACAAAAGACGATAGACGTCTCTGCACACGCCAACAGTAGTTGATGGGAAACACAAATCAGAATCAACCAGCAGGAATGTTGCTTGGAATGTGGAAATATACCGAGGTGGTTTTATGACTTTAATATTGTTTGGCATTTATAGAAGAAGAAGAATGGAATGATAATTGTAGATTCAATCCATGTGTCACCAACACTCACAGGGACATCCTCTTCCATTTTCCATTTCACTGTGAAATTAGTTCAGGTTGTTGGCGGCTCCATTACCAATTGTTTCAACTACTTGTTATTTTGGACAGCGTGTGAATACGATTACTGAGCTTTGTAATGCTTAAAGAAGTGTATTGGTAGTTTGAAATCGAAGAAAATGGAACTAAACAGGATTCTCTTTTTGGACAACTAAGTTCTCCACTATAAGGTCGTCATGCACATTGCAATGGACGCTCACAAGAATGCTGGATAGTCAGAGACTAGAGCTGTATAAAGAATACCCCGGTTTGAAACAAGCTAAAGATAACGGCAGCACTGACGGAGCCAGCGGTCAAGCTGAGTAGAGCACATCCTTCAGACCGGGACAAGGGGAAGCCATCATGAGGATCCTGTCAGGGATTCACTGCTCTCTCGCATACAAACACACACATCTGTACCCCTATAACCTCTGTGTTCGGGGTTGTCTCTCTCTCTCTCTTGTTCCTGCAGGTCTCTCTACCCTCGTAGTGTTGGATGGGTAAATTGTTGTGCTATCAGCTCCCAGTCTTCCTGTTCGCTAAGAGATCGAAAAGCATCGCTTTGGTCATTTCCCCTCTGGTCTCCCTCATGGACGACCAGGTAGTCACCTTCTTTCCCTCGATGGTGTTGATCTCCAACATCTTCCTGCGTGTCTCAAAGAGTGAAAAGTTAGATTTCAAATCTAGGCTCAAAAGCCATCTCGACGTTTGTTGATTTAATGTAAAAAGGGCCCTAAAAATAGTATTTTTTTCTGTAATTTATCCAGCAGGATTTCAAAAGTACAGCAATGCACTTTAATCCAAAGAGAAATCATAAACTGTCATGTGTTTGGTAGTATCTATAACAGGGGTCTCAAACTCAAGTCAGGTACGGGCCAGATGCAGCCCACCTCGACCGAACGCGGGCCAGACCATTATGGCCGACGGGGGGGATGACACTGACGGTCCGACCGGCGAACGGAACGGTCGGCGCTGGGGTGGAGGTTGTAAGTGGCTGCTAACAGCGAGGTTGCTACAATATGGAACTCGCGGGCCGCACTAACATTACACTTTCATATGAAGGCGGGGGCCACAAAATATCGTCCCGAGGGCCGCAATTGGCCCGCGGGCCGCGAGTTTGAGACCCCTGATCTATAATGTGTCCTTCCTTTGTTTTTCTGCAGGTCAGGCCAGGTGTGTGTGTTGCTCCTCTCTCCAGAGGCCCTGCTTGGTGGAGGCTGTCTTCCCTCGGCTCAGGAGCTCCCTCCTTTGTCTTTCGCCTGTATAGACGAAGCTCATTGTGTCTCTGAGTGGTCTCACAACTTCAGACCGTGCTACCTCAGACTCTGTAAGGTGGGTTAATGGCTTAAGTCTTTATATTTGATATTGGGTATAGACGCTTTGTGTGTCCGTAGGGTGGGGACCTCCATGAGCTCCGGCGTCACATCTATGCAGAGACAGTGGACTACTACACAGTTAAGAAACCGGTCCAGAAAGTTTTCCCTCCGTGTAAATGTAAACAGATACACAAGAAACAGCAAGAACAACTTGAACTAGTAAAGGTAACTTCCCCTCTGTGTGTGTTTGGTTTAAATATTGTTCAATATGTTGTGGCAGTAAAACAATAAAACTAAACTGTTTTGTGTGAAGGACATTGAAGATTCAGAGCTGATGGAGATGATGGATGGCTGATAAGTGCGCAGTTCACATGACATGCGCTTTTCAACCGGTTCCACATGCAGTTGCCACCCGATTGCCGTGGTGTTGGCCAGAAAGCGGATGGCAGGCGAGCGGGTGGAGACGCTGGATCAGCTGGAGTTTGATGTGGTCGAGGTGGGCGGACACTATGGCAGCTTCCTGTGGTGAAGAGAGGAGTCAGACAGCTGCAGTTGAGCAGTGGTATGTGAATGCACTGAAACAACAGGAAATGTTCCTCATGAACACAAAGCGAAACACAGCAGGAAAATCAGGGCCATAGTTTGAATGAAATGTCCCCCTCTGGTCTGTGTCCTGCATGTTCTGTGCTGTATAAATTAAGCCAAATAGAGCCACTTACCGGTGAATTATTAACGTTTCTGGTTCAGTCGGCGGACGCAGCGTCCACGTTGACGTGTCCTCCCTATCGTTCTACTTCCGGTCCTTTGGCGACCTCAGCGACGAGGAGATGGACAGAGTCTGTCAATTCCTCCATAGTCGAGTGCTGAACCAAGAGAGAACGCAGCTTTACCAGCTGACTGCTTCAAGGCCTTCAGGAGGTACACACCGTCTGTTTAATGCATGCAATATAATTGTTACAATTATTGTTACATATAATTGTTAAATACAATTTCTCAATCGCTTCATTGCCCGGTGTCCACGTGCAACTTTGCGTGTGCGTCGTGTTGCAGCGTTGCCTTCAAAAGAGTCCTGTCTTGAAGATCTGGATGAGAGTCGCAGTCTCCAGCTGAAGGGCCTTCTCTTTGACAAGAGGCGAGACCAAGGCTTCGCGCTCGCAGCAGCGGACATCGAGGAGCTCTGTCGCTAGGATCTTGCACGGCATCGCTGAGGGCGCACGGCGCTCACAGTACGTATGCGTAAGAGGGATCACAGGCTTAACTCGGCCTCACAGGCAACTGCAGACTGCATCATTTTGATGAGCTCAAAGAGCGTCTGAAGCTTTGTTCTGTAACAGCTCTGCACCTCAAGCCCTCTAGAGGGAGGCACAGGATCAATGAATAAACTATGAGCGTGGCAATGTGGAGCAGAATATCTTATAAATTGTTCTAGTAAGATGATTTCTGTTGTTCTGTTAAACCAGCAGCAAGTTGTCCTGTGCGGAAACACACACGTGGATCAAGTAGGTCGATGCAACTTTCATCCTCATAACAATTTTATTAAATCATGTTCAATCTATGTTTTGTACAATGTTAGGTGTTGATGCTAATAATATACATTTGTTTTTCTTTGAAGACTGTAATTAAATAAAATTGTATTTAATTGTAAAATTGTATATAATTCTATTTTTTTTAGCTTGGGCTTTTTACATTTGTTATTTATTTATTTATGTAGTTATATAGAAATATCTCCTCCGAATTAAACAGCTTTGTATTGCATAGATGAAAAGCTCTTATCTTGTTTTATTAGTACACTGAGCTCAAACCTCAGAGGTCTTGACCCAGAAAGGAACTCATAGGAGGAAGTAAAAATGGAACTGTAAAATATTGACTGGGACATAGCTCTTTAAAAGGAAAATGATTGTTTAATGGTTACGTTTGTAGTGGGTGCAATTTTTTATTTTGTTAGCTATTTACTCCACTCCAGTGGACATGTAAATTATTCAGAGGGCTTAATCTTTTCTTGCTACTGTGAAGCGCAGCAGGGGAATAATAAAGCTACGTGTTTTTACTTTGGTTAAATTAAGCACTATTTTGCACTGAGAGTTAGATCTCAACGACTACTCCCGTGAAATAAATATGATGTTTTGCCTATTTGTCCTCCTCCAAAAAGAGCAAACGGTCTCCAGGACATAATTCAACCCTTTGAATGAAGCCGATTAAATACATCTTTGTCATGCAAATGAATCCAGACAGCTGCAGAAAACACATCTAAATAAGTCTCCCAGGAAGCAAAGGTGGGCTGGTGTCTCCCCAGGAGCTCTTTTAAAGCCGGGAGCCTGAGCAAAGTTTTTGTGTAAATGCTTGAATGTACGGTGGCAAACTTCCAATACAAGGTTTTTAAAATTATGTTCATTTATGAACGGAATTTTTCAATAATTGCTAAATTGAAGATTTGGACTCCCTCCCTGAGGACGTGTGCCTCGTGCTCTATGAGCAGTTCTTAGTTACATTGATGTAAGACTCAAACTCACCCGTATAAATGTCAGTGTGCTCCCCCTAAAACGAGACTTTGACCAGTATGATCAGTCGTGTTGTTGTGCTGCTTGCTGCATGCTGCCACTCAGCTGAACATTCAAACGCTTCCAACTGTTGTAAACATGACGTCTTCTTATCACCATCTTTACACAACAGTTGTTCACGTCATTTTTTGAAACTCTGCGTCACTGCAGCATATAGATTTTTATTGTTGTAAAACTTCTTATTCAGAGATAAGATGTATTAATCAGTATAATTGATGATGCGCTCAAATGTCCACATTTGTCCACAAATGTTTACATTTAATTATTCAGTATTTTATTGGAAGAGTAAGTTATACGACTCTTCGCGCTCGTAAAAACGTCACGTAGAAGTTCAAAAGGAAGGATTGCTCTTGCTGGATTGCTGCCTGCTGGGAAATCAATTTTCCTGTGTCAGCAGCTGCATCCTGTAATCTGCAATTGTTGTGTTTTTACAGCACACGCTTAAAGGATCAGTACAGAAACTAAATGTTATTTAATTGGTCATTTTGGCCGAGAGAAAGACACCATTTGTGCTCGTGAATGGACGCACACCATCGTATAGATATTGTGTCTACGTCTTTCCATGATGAGTTGTCAGTGGACTCTCACCTTATCTGTCAATTGAACGGAGATTATATGAGAAAGATAAAGAGACAATCTAGATCCTCCTGCTTCCACTGCTTCTCGCTTTATTCACATGAGGATTAAGGAACTATGGTACATTCAGCAAATCAGTCTTTAGGCTGAACTGCTGATTAGTGATCACATTGAAACAAATACCCACTGTTAAATTCATCCACAAATCCACATTAATAGGTTTTGAAAATGCTTTCAATTTTCCAAACTAGGTAGACTAACATGTTTATTTCAAGCCAACATATATTAACACATACTTTTATATTAACTGTACCTTCAACATTTGTGCAGTGCAATTTTCAATGCTATAAACTCAAACATGCGTTTAGCTTCTTTTTAAAATTAATTCACCAAAAAAAAAGTATTTTTCTTATCAGCACTTTTAATTAAAAGCATAACAAATAACTGTACAAAGGTGTATTACAAGTATTGGATGTAAACACTCTTATAGACTCGAGAAGAGAACAATACTTGTATTAAGAAATGTATTGTCATTTTTGCATTTTATTAATGCTGACAAAAACCCAACGGAGAATCAGAACCAATTTTTTTCATATTTGCTTTAACCAAAACATGAATGATTAATGTTTTATTTTTGAAAAACTCTGATTTGTACAATGAGATTCTAGTTTTATAAGACCTCTGCTGCGGTCCACCACAGAGGTTCTGCATGGAATCCTTCCTTTTGCCAAATTGTATTATTTACAGTGTGCAGGAGAATGTCAGAGGACTTTAATATCAGCTCAGTGGTTTTGGGTGGCACATATTTGTGTTTAATTTATCAGAGTGGATAAGTTATGTGACAGACGGGCTCTCACCAGGGTCATTCGTGACGAATGCCCATAAACGCCCAGTAAGGTCACTGTGAGCGTTCAAAGATTCCACAATCTTCATAGACAACATCACGAGTCAGATTAAGCAATTTAGACTGACGCCTCTGTTATTAAAAGCTGACACATATTTGTGTTTAATTTATCAGAGTGGATAAGTTATGTGACAGAGGGGCTCTCACCAGGGTCATTCATGACGAATGCCCATAAACGTCCAGTAATGTTACTGTGAGAGTTCAAAGATTCCACAATCTTCATAGACAACATCACGAGTCAGATTAAGCAATTTAGACTGACGCCTCTGTTTTTAAAAGCTGATCCTCTCTTCGTAGAGGGACAGCAGCAACAAAACACCCCACCCGGTCAGAAGGCCGAGGTTCTGCAGCAGAAACACCAGCCAGGGTTTCTTGTTTCTGATGTGGACCATGGTGGGGAGCTGGAATGAGAAAAAGAGGAGAGATGGGAGTCTCTCTTGATGCCCGTCACAGCGCGTGTACCACCTGTTGAATGTTCAACAACACTCACCATGTCAGCTAGTCCGATGTACAGGAAGAGTCCCGCGGAAACGGCAGCTATCCACTGTTTGGTGGCGAGGTCCGTGGCGACGGACAGAGCGATGTACAGGCCGACGAAGGAGGTCATGGCACTGCCCACGTTCAGGAGCAGCGCCTTGCGCACCGACAAGCCGCTGTTGAGCAGAATGGCAAAATCGCCTGCAGAGACACGCACACAAGGTCGATGTTAAGTGAGCTTCGATGGGGCCAAACTGCACGCCGCCTCCATCTTTTGCATGATTTTTTTCGTTACCCAGTTCGTGTGGTAGTTCATGGCAGAGGACGGCTATTGATGTGGCCAGACCAGACTTCCACGACAGGGAGAAAGCTGCGCCCATCGCTAAGCCGTCTGCAAAGTTGTGGATGCCGTCTCCGATTGTTATCATGTAAGGCAGCAGGCGCTGCTCTGTGGAGGCAGGCAAAGCCATAGTTAAAGGTTCCTAACCCTAACCTTAACCCACGCCCGTCACAATTTCTTAAATATGACTTTACTTGCCTTTCGTGAACTCTTTTGGCTCTGAAAGAGATTTCTCATCGTCGTAATCACTAACCTAAAATGTACATGAAGCATTCAGTAACGAGTCCCATTAGCATGACATTCAGTGTGGGTTTAGTCTGATAATTGGTTTAAAATCGTTGCATTATTTGTACTTTACTGAGAGGTGCAGATGAATCATAGCCCCTTTGAACCAAGCAGCAGCATCTTCATGCATTTTGCTAAAAGTTCTGTTGTGTTTCTCACCAGGTCTGCTTTTGAGGCTGAATGTGACTTGTCTTTTTGTTTCCTCTCCTGTCCATACATCTCTAAAACCCTCCCATGGTCACAGTGGTGAGGCTCGGATTCTTCCTTCAGAGAGAGAGAGAAGCCAAAATATAGAACGTTTGGACTTTTCCTCATAAGATTTAGCTTCGCAAATGAATGACAAGATCCCAGCAGGTTCCCGTCATTTCCAGATTCAGGTTTCAATAGTGCCAACTTTTTTAATTTATGGGAAAAATGAAGAATGGCATGTCTATATTTATATTCTCACTATATTTATATTCTCACTGGCCTACTTCTGTGGTGTATTATTGTATTAATATTCTCTTACCCCATGATGATGTTGATGATGGTGATTATCTTTGTATGCAACCAGAGAGAAGATTGTTTCCATCAGATAAAATAAGTAGATACCGCCAATCAGTACCAACATCTTGTAAATGTAGTCTGGAGTTTCTTCGTGTGCAGCATCAAGCGAGTGATTGTGGCTGTCCGTTTTGTCTGAGTGCACATGCAAATCTAAAAACTGAACACACAGACCGGAACAAAATGAGTATTTCTTGTTTAAAAATCACGCCGCTTTTCCAGCTGCTATGAATTTCAGCCCCCCCCCCATAAAAAGCTTTTCACTCACCATGGGTACCAGGTGCAGTAAGGCATCTCCAGTCAGTGAACCTACAGCCAGGCTGATGCAGAACTGGATACAATTCTGGAACACACTGGTGCAAGAGGTACACAGCAGCACTACAATGCCAAACATGGATGTGAGGGTTATCAACACATTGGCAATGGTGGCATAGATGTATTCTACAAGAGAAGGAGAGAACAGAAGAGGCGGAGAGAAGGTCAACACGTCAACAGCCCAGAAGACAAATGAAGCACGTAAATATGCAAAGTAAACGTAAAGCCTTTATTGAATCGGTCCATCCGGCCATGATGATGGTGAACATAGCTTTATGACTCGGGGATCAGAATTTTTTTCCCCAAACTGCACGCTGAGAGTCCTTTAAGTGGAATCTTTGCTCTTAATGTGTTTCTGGAAGGCCTTTCAGTACATGGACCCTTACTCTCTGTCTCGGTGAGCCCATCCGGTGTCGGCGGTTCTGTGACGCCTGCGCACGCTCCGCTCAGGATCTGCTGTACGAGTGCAGGGCTGAGCCGAGCAAAGTCTGTCCGACTCAGGCCAGAGGAGACCGAGCTGTTGTCCGCCAGACCGTAGATCAGTAGCAGTTCCTCACCTGAGGCGCAGAACTGGGAGAATAGAAAAAAAGGCCCGGTAAGACTGGTTAGCTCCAACAAACAGTATGTGTTACATTACATTACATTAATCATGTAGTGAAATCCATTCATTTTTGTACCTGGTCCCAGGTGGCGTTTCCTCCACTCCTCTCGTGATGTTCGGGGCCGCCCCTCCTCCTCCGCCTTAAACCACTGTGATCGTGATCAGCGTGTTCGTCCACATGGTGTTCGTGGTCGGGTCCGATATGCAGACTTGTCATGAGAGCCTCCAAATCTACACAACCCAAATGCAACCTACACTTGAGCAAAAAAGTATTCTGCTGGTTTTGATTAATGAGTGTGAATAGGTTTGTGACCGTATGTAGTCCATGTGTGCAGACAACAACGCTATGGAAGGTTTACATACATACATTAGTATGTCTTTGAACCTTTACAGGTTCTTGGTGATCAATGCATGTATGCGCGCCTGTGTCACTTATTTGCTATATTTGACATTTACCCCAGACAGTGAAGTTAGTCGACCCCAGACGCTCCATGATGAAGTCCAGGAAGAAGCTCTCCTCAGGTAGGGATGCGTGGCGGACGGCGGTGCTAATGAAGCAGTGACCTCGCAGGGCGTGATACAGGATGCGGCCCAAAACTGGACCCACTTCCTGGTCTGCTGATGATGCATCCACCTCCGTCGTGAGGTCACTTGCTGTTACGCAGCTCTGTTGGCCGAAAAGTGCACAAAAGACAGATTTACCTACTGACTCGATTAGAACTTTAAGATATTTTCAAAATGAAAAGTATATTCCCGTCTCAGCTTCTGAATTGTTAGAAGTTCTGCTGTTTGTCTTTATTTGTGTCTAAATTGAATCCTTGGAGTGTTGGGTGGACCAAACAAGTGACGTTTCCTTGGACTTTACACAAATTACCAGGGGCATTTACAGTATTGTTTTGCAGATTAATTGTTGTTGCAGCCACAACTAAATGACAATAGAGTTGTCAAGAAATCGCAATCTGTCAACTACATCGACACCCCTCCCGAGTGACGTTTTCATGAGCAAGTGGCATCTGGTTTTGACCAGCTGTTTTTTGGGGCAATTTTATTTGTATACCACATTTCAACAATAAGGCAATTCAAAGTGCTTCACATAAAAAACATCCAAACATAAAGCAAGGAGATTTATAAACAGTTAAGAGCATTGATACATCGAAACATAAAAGAAAATTAAAAGGATAAAAAACACGTTAAGATTTGAAATATAATAAAATTGTATTTGATGCAATTTAAGAATTCCGACTTGCTGAAATGGTCAATTGAAGGCAGCAGCAAACACAAATGTCTTTAATCTGGATTTAAAGGAGCTGAGGGACTCAGCCGACTTTCTGGGACTTTGTTCCAGATATGTGGGGCAGAAGAACGGAACGCTGCGTCTCCATGTTTAGTTCTGACCCTGGGAACAGAAAGTAGACCCGTCCCAGACGACCTGAGGGTTCGTGGCGGTTCATAAGGTATCAGCCGATCAGAAATGTACTTTAGCCCTAACCCCCTTCAGTGCTTTATGAACTAGCAGCAGGATTTTGAAGTCAATTCTTTGTTTGACAGGAAGCCAGTGTAAAGACCTGAGAACTGGAGTGATGTGATCCACTTCGCTGGTCCTAGTGAGGAATCGATCAAAAGGTTTGCCGGATAACTCAATACAACCATGCCAAATTCAAGAGACTTTGAACTGTAAAATATGTAATATTAGGTTTGGGGAGGGGGATTCAGTAATGTATGCTTACATTGTCATTTCCATAAAGCTTTGTCTTGTTAATTGTGATTCATGAAAACAAGACATAAAAAATACTTTACTAGAGGTCATATAAAAAAACAAACTTATTTTGAATAACATCCAACACTACTTTTTGTATCATATGAACTGGAAGAACAAGACATTCTAAGAGGTTTTTTTTTCATCGTGATGATGATGGTTGCTACGGTAGGTCGGTTGGCTGATTGAATCAATAGTGATAAGGTATTTAGTGTGATGTATACTGCCGTGATCCCAGTTTACCTCGAACACTCAATAACCCTGCGAGGACACTGTCAGGGCCGTAAACCGGCTGGCGGTTTGCCAAACGGGGAATTATGGTGCAATTTTCAAACAAAGCACAAAGCATTGTTGCATAATCAAACTCACATCTTGGCAACCTTCTTTTGCTTTTGGCCTCGTCAGAGATCTGAAACAAGGTTTTTGTTTTCCTCTTTGCTGTCTTGTTGATAATCTTGTGAGCAAAATGTGGTCTACTAACAGATACTGTGTTGTATTCGGATGTTTACCTCTCTGTGTGAAGGCTCATAGTGGTCTTGAAGCTCTTGAAGCAGGACCTTCAACCCATGAACACCAATGTGCACGTGCTCATGGTCCTGGTGCTGCTCGCTCTCTTCATGCGGCCGCTCACGGTGATCCTCATGTGCTATTTTATGTAGGAAATGTTGGACCTCCTGTCCCCATGTCCCCTGTCTCGCTGCGGTGCAGACCAGGCCAGGAGATGAGAGGTAGAGGACGCATCCAGCGGCGAGAGCGGTGAACTGAGACGCACTGACGTTTGCGCTTTTACTGCCAGTTTGCTCCTCTGTATGAGTGGAGTGATCCTCTGTCAGCTGGTGAAACGCCTCCGTTAGATCACACTGCGCCCAGAGAAAAACACAAACAGATCTATGTTAGTAAAGGAACACATTTGAACATTTAGTGATTCTTTCAGGCACAACGTACAAAAACAGCAGCTTTGACAGAGGTTTAAATTTAGAATCGATGCTTTGTTTCTGTCGGTGGTACATAACTTATTGTGGTTGGACCTCATTGGAGACTTAGAATGGGCTAGCAAGAGCCTCTTGCTCTTTCCTTGCATATCTCTGTCCTTATGAGGACAAAATGCACGTAGAGGCAGGTAGATCACACACACACACACACACACACACACACACACACACACACACACACACACACACACACACACACAAATAATGCCTACTGTCTTCACAAAAACATGCTGTTGTGTCACTCAGGGTGTTCAAGTTAGGGTGAGGAACTTTTAGCTCAATAGAATCCTGAAGCCTTCACAGGACCTTAATTTCTAAACACATAAGAAAGAAGATTGTCGTTTTTCACAGAGATATTCTCAACGCTTGTCGTCACCTGCTCGGCTTTGTGTGCAATCAGATGAAATCATGCAAGTTTAACAGAAAGTGTTTAACAGCTCAGCCTCCTGCGGGCTCTACGGCGGTGAGGCAGAAGCCCCGGCTCTACCCGATGCTGGGCCAGCTGGTGGGAGAGGAACTACAGAGCACGTACTTCTGCCTTTTTTCCCACATACTTTTGAGCCAGTTTGCGATAAAATGGGGTCTTATCTGTCCCTATTGGCAGCCGAGATTGCCGATGCTGAGTGGGAGCTTGTGTGTGTTCTGCTGTTGGAACTATAAAGCACTTTTGTGTCACCTCTGTCTTGATCACAGATCTGCTCTAGTAAAGAACAAATGTACTATACGGCCTGATAAAGATCATTCCGGTCCCTGACAAGAGGAAAGAGAAGAATGAGGACTTAAATGATATATAGCCTCTTCACACTTAACTATAAGTAATATATTTAAAAATAGAAAAGTATAAAAAAAGGCTTGTCCAGTAAAAAAGGCCAATTAACTAAACCTGAGTAAAGATCCCCAGCAAGAAATCAACTTTAACAACGTAAGGGTGTCAGCGGTCAGAGTTAATATGTTTTGGACCTTGACCTCTCTCCGCGGCACCTGCACTCACCCACCTGCCTCTCCAGCCTGGCCGAGTTAAGCCTAATAAAAACGTACCTTTTCACACGACACTTCACCACACTGCACACGTTTCTCCAGCGTATTAAAGACGGATCCGAGGGACTCCCTGTTCAGATGCTGCTGTCCTGGAGCTACGATGCTGAGCACAGCCCTGTACGCTTCCTTCTCAGCGGGAGACCCTGAAACGGGGCCGAACGATCCCCAACTGGCGAGAATCAGCAGAGCGGAGACAAACATCTTAAGGCTTTCTTCAAAAACTGCCATCGTAAAAATGTATTGACATTAATGAAAAAGTCAATAAAATGGGATGACAGAGGCTGATGCGGTCCTGAGTTATTTCTACAGAGACATTGAGCTGTACAGAGCTCAGCTCGCAACTGTTATCAGTTTTAAACCTCTACACGTTAACTGCTCCTGCATTGTGATTGGCTGAGACGATGCTCGCGCTGTTCCATACCGGTTTCTTAAACCTGTCACCAGGCAACACACCCTGTAGGCATAAAGGCTGAAGACCAGAGCTCAGCTACGACATCATTTGCATCATTTTGCACCCAAACACAAAACTGTTTAAATACTTTTTCATTTTGCAATGGTAGTTGTTTTTTACAGTAGTTGGTAGGTTAGGGTTTGGCCATACTGAATTCTACATCATATGTGTATGGACAGACTAAATATGTTTCTGGCATAATGGTATGGTACTGCAACGCACAGAAAGTCTCTGTTTACTAATAATCTTCTCCAATCCTGTAAAACCCATGAATAAAAAACTCTATTAACTGCAATCCTTGATATTAAAATCCACAAATCAAGCCAAAAATCTACCCTAATGTAGGTATGGATGAAGCCCTCAATCTGAACATCTACATAAAGACGATCACAAAACCAGCCTTTTATCAGCTGAAGAATACGTAAAGCATCTCATCAGGATTAGGAAGAACATGCATTCATCTCCATTAGTCTGGACGGTGTGATGACAAGTCTGTAGAAAGTCAACCAATCCTGACGGAGACCCGGGATCCATCCCTCCAGTTCTGAGATATAAACCTTTTTATACATCCTAAACAGAACTGGCCATCACTTGTCAACAAGTGGATGCAATGGGGAAGGCTGAGTGCAACATCTGGTGGCTGATGCTGGTCAATGGCACCTTTAATTGAATAATTTGGGTATGTTGGTTACTTGCTATTTTTCCAAGATGCAAAGAAAAATCCAAACATTACAAGTATTACTAAGTATTTTTGATAATTAAAGATAACGAAAATACAAAAACGTATGATTAATTCTTACGTTGGAAATAGAGTTGATGGGAAACAACATAAATAACTGTCCACTCCAACAAAACATCCAGTTGTAATATTCATTTCACATCGACAACCTCATAAAATGTCTATACCTTAATTGAATGGCTAAATCGTTAAATAAAAGAATGCTACTGTATTTGACACTAGGTGGTGCAGCTGCTTTGTGTAACAACAGCAGCGGTTCTGCCATACTTCTGAAAGCCCTCCCGTCCCGCCACCCGAACCTCTTAAGAGGAAACTAAAAAACGTGATGAATTTTTGTTTGCATTTGTCCTTTTTTATATTTAATCCGCTCTTAACTGAAATGTTATTGTAGCTTAGTGTACTCGATGACACTTGCTCTACTTTATTTTTTGGTTTCATTGTGTGATATCAGTTTGTAATCTTCAAAGAAAGGAGCAATTTTTTGTTTCGGTTAGATATTTATGCATTACATATATTCATTTTGGCACATTATTCCACTTTATAGACCTTGTCTGCAGCTGTTAAATGGTATACAATTCTTGTGACACAATTATTGCACAAATTCAGAAGGCTGGTTGACCAATTAATTAATTGAAGGAGACATTTTTTTTCCTCTTGAAGGGATTAAACTGTTGAAATAAAAATGAGAACCAACAATCAGAAAAATGCCAAACTTTGCTGGGTATTTATACATGAGTTCCTTTTCCTGTTCCAACAAACGTATACGCATAGCAGCTATGGTGTTGTTTTGTTTGCACTCATTCTGCTGTGGTCAGGGTCGAAGATTTGGACAGTCTGTTGCTTCTTGTCTGAACTAAAATTGTGTCAACGGTCGCATGCCGTCGATCTCAAAACCACTGAAGGGAAGGATATGGAGTTGATTGGTGCACATCACTTCACACACTTGAAGAGACAGCAAACACACGCACACACACACACACACACACACACACAAGCTCCCTTATGGCATGGGACCCTGGACATCTGTCGGTGCTACACACACACACACACACACACACACACACACACACACATGCGCACACAGGCATGTTGACCCCTGCACTGCTAATCTTAGAGACAAAACACACACTGTCCAGTGACCTGTTTTTACGCTGCCCCTCGTCCTGTCACTCTGCGTCACGTCGTCTGTCATGCAAACCTGTAGATGTTCTCGGCACACATTCATCAAGTCCAACGCTGTATGCACACAAAGACGCGTGCACACACATCTCATCATCCAAAGTGACAAACACCAATGTCCACCAACAGATCGCAAAACCAAACTTGCAATCAATCAGTGATGCATCAATCAATGCATCATTAGAAGTCAACAAGATATTAAAATGATTGCTAATTTCTGGCTCAAAGACGATCTTCTGTGCCAGTGTCTTTTTACCATTTAACTTTTTTTTGTATCTTTTGTATCTTTTGATAATATACAAACAATGTTAACCCCCTGAAAAGCAGCTGACTGCTTTCAGTTGTGTTTTAATGTATTTTACTAGATTACTTCTTAGCACTCAAAATACTCTTCAATAAGATATTCTCCCTATTCTAGTCACCACTTGGTGCAGCGATGAAGCCAAGATGAAGCGTCGTGGACAAAGATTTTCTTCTCACAAGATTCTCCACGAACACACACTTGCACATGCACTTACGCGTGCACACAAGCTCGCTGCTTGCCCTCAGCCCTACTTTGCTTCGGAGGCTGATGTTTCCATTACAGAAATAAAAGCATGACGACTAATCCAGTTACATGTTCCCTGGACGACACCCACACCCACGTGTACAGACACACACACACACACACACACACACACACACAAATGCAAAACCGGCTCATACACAAGTACAAAGACATACATGATGCAAGTGGACAAATACAAGCCGCATGGAGACACAATCACGAGACCACACTCCCACAAACACACACACAGACATTTGGGGACCTCACACTGATTCAGTTTCATTTTCTGGAGACTTATCCTAAACCTGAACCCTGAGATTAAACCAATGTTCCCCTTAAAATGTAATGATTTATATTATGGGGGCCTGAAGTTCGTGCCCATAAGGAGGAGTCTCTACAATGAGACTATTCAAACCAATGTATGGGAACAACACGCCAACCATCACACACACACACACACACACACACACACACACACACACACACACACACACACACACACACACACACACACTCAGACGCACAAGGGCATCTGATTGAATACGGACCCTCTGCTGTGAAAGAAGTCAAGCAGCGTATTCTGGAGCTCTTGAAATAAACACTGAACACTGGTAATTCATCTTTTTCTGTAAAAGCCACAAATCAGTGGAACACCCTGCCTGAAGTTGTCAAGAGCTGCAGCTCCATCAGCACTTTTAAAAACAATTAAAAAATCAGTACAAAGCTGCTCAGCACCGTACTCATTGAATTATTTTTATAATCTTACTTGTGCTACTCTGCAGCTTTGCATTGTGTTTGTTTGAAGTGTTTCTTGTGTGTTCTTTTCACCACCAATTTAGTATTATGTCCTTCACCCTGTACTGTTATTGTGTTATCCTTGTTATGACCTGTCGAGGGACTACAGACGCGAATTGGCTAAAGCTATTATCTGATACAGTGCATCAAATCGTGACATTTATGTTTGAACTACATGGTCCCTTGACGACGCACAGGGCCCACTCACACTTACTTACTAATAACTTCATAGCTATGTCGAGTACAAAACATTATTTTACTTTTAAACGCTCAAGTCTTGTGTGTCAAGAGTTTGCACACAACCATAACAAATGGAAGTGGAATGGTTCATGAATTTCGCAATTTCCGTGGATGCTTTTATTTATTTATTTTATTCTCCTTTTTGTCTCATTTTAACCCACAGGAAGAGTTCTAACAAGTGTGATTCAATCCCTGGACGAGGTGAGTAACTTTGCTTAGCATGATTAGCATAAGTACATTCTGCACATAGTTTGTGCAAACCTGTATTTTGGATTTTTTCATAGATGTTCTTTTCATTCAGGGTGTGTATTGAACCCTCTGAGTAAATACTTCCATGCAGACTTGTGCACATAGATTGTGGTAAGCAAGCTTTTTTTAAGACTGCAAAAATCCACACGAGCGCACAGACACACGCACACACCCACACATCCTGGTCAAATGTTAATGCTTTATTAATTCCTGGATTTAAATCTTACGGCGTTAACATTTTTCAGCCATACACATGGGCAGAATACTGATTGTGAGTGAGCGGATGAAATGAGGTGGAGGAAGGGAAGAACGAGACCAATGGTAACGACGGAGAGAGAGAGGGAATTAAAAAAAATCTGTACTTAAAAATAATAACCATGTCATGGCCTGATTGGTTTGGTTTTCTCATATTTAACTCAGTGGACTGGGAAATGAGAGAGTGACAGAGAGGAATGGAAGCAGATTGAAAGAAAAAAAAAAATAGACAAAGGACAGGGAATGAATAGAGTAAAAGAGGGGAACAAAAAAAGAAAAGGGGGTTGGGAAGAAGAGAAACAGAAGAATAGGAAATTGAATATTGAAGTTCAATTTAAATTGAAAAATTGTCTATTTTACACCCTCGTCCATATTTGGATTAATCAAACAAGATATAATACATTGTGTGAATAAGGCAGTGACATCTGATAGAGCCAGGCTAACGGTTTCCAGGCGTGACAAGTTGTGGATTTGTGAATTTGTGCCGCGCCGAACCAGCATCGGACTTATCACCATTATTGGACTAAGGATGCATATTCCTGCTAAAAAACGCCAGAATTGACACAGAATACCCAGAGATTTTGTCTTCATTTTCTACACTACCCACAATGCACCTCCTCCTTCCCCACAGTTCTTGGTGGGATTAATCTTTGTGAATGCTGAATTACATTTGTCCTGTGGATTTGCCTGCTAATTTGCTGTTGCGTGCATATGGTTGATACATTTAAGGATTTCTGAACAAACTTTAAAAAAAGACTCATTGCTTCGAGTTTTACTTTACAAGCTGCCTCCTCTGAAGAAAAGCGGAGTCGTAATCACATAATGTCACACTGAGATAAGGATCTCAACAGTTTTCTTAACGTCTGAATGAACAATAAAGGGTCCCATCCTGCTTGTAGTGAAAATCTATGCCCGATGAGGTGTGAACACTGTGGAGATACAACGAAAAGATCCACTAAAAGTCCACAACAGAAAGAAAAGAAAGCTCTGGTTTTCCTCATTACACCATGCAGCCTTTAGCCAGACAAGAAGTAATGAGCAGCAGGGCGGCCCGTCATCCGCCTAAATAGCTGCAATGCCAAAGCAAAGTCATGTCGCTTTTAGATGTCGACATTTAAAACTGAGAAAATGTTGAGCGTCCCCTTGGGAAAAATGATTCACAATTACACTTCAACTTCTCTGAATTAAACATGACCCTGTCCTTCACTAAAAATATTATTCCCTTCAATTGATTTTTATTACTCCAGGTAATAACTTCAAGGGTGCATTGCAATACCCTTTGTCGCATGTTATAATGTGATCTTATATATTATGAATGAAATGAAATTATCTATCTTCCTCAATAAGCACTGTGGCTTAAACTGATTTGAAAATCTGCAAATCCATAAAGAAAAAAACTGTGACATGAACTTTGATTTCATGCATCTAGTGCTCGTGTATGAGTCTCTAAACTCTGATTTCATGCCTCCAGGAGGCTCTTAAGCATACGATGATCTGTCCACATATACTGTAGGGAGGAAGAAAGAAGATTTCATAGAAATTCAAGAATATAACACCTCTAATACCTGGAGGAGAGTTTTGGTCATCACAACCTGCTGAGAGCGATGGGAATCTTTTTAATGAGGAATCCTTTCACAATAAAAAAAACACTCGCTTGGCCGTTTTTATTGTTGAAAGAAAGACACAGTAAAGGTATTTGTCCCTGTAAATGTGGGGCTAATTATGTACGTACATTTGGTTCATACATAGGCTTGTATTCTGTATCGGCCCGGATTTAAACTTGGTGTTTTGGATTGCCAAAGGAACGGATAACCTGATGCACTCGATCCGTTTGTGGTGTCACAGAGCATTTGTTTTATTAATTCTATGTAGTTTTTAGATTCTTCAGCACGTCAGTTTGCTGTCTGTCACCATTCTGTTTGTTTGGTCCGTTCTTCATTCAGTAACTCTCGCAGCCTCCTCTTCATAAAACAGAGATGTTACACTCATCTGAAGGTAATTCCGTCAGCAATAACAGTTTATCCGTTGACACCACATGACCCCAGACCTCAGGCAGAGGGAATGTGTTGTGAACTGCATCAACATGTTGCCATCACCCTACTAGGCATGAATTTACAACTGACCTTGCTGGTAAACAACAGTGTTGCAGCCTGTGAACATTCGTCCTCTTTGCTTCACCAACCTCTGACCTGTCATTGCACATCCTCTATTTTCCCTCCTCGCCGAGTTCCTCCCTCGTTGTTTGCAAATCTTGGGTTAACGGAGCTAAAGATTAAATTTCATCACTATGTACATTGATAACTGAAAAATACATGAAAACAATCCAGAACTATTTATTCAACAGTGGACTGTATTGACTAACATTGTGGATGTCTAAATCACATCCACACATAGACTGTGGACCCAAACCAATGGTCTATTTACTTTATCTGTTGGTGCTGTTACAAAAAGCCTCTGCTTCATAAGCTCAGAGTCTTTTTCTTCACATTCACAGGTAAGTGGAATCTGAGTGAAGGACAAACAACTTGTGGGGCAAATGTTTTTTTTTACTGATAAATAATCAAACACATTCATTGTTAATTACAAATGAATGTTTTTATATAAGTTGTATTCGAACAATATTATTTATTGAGTCCCTGCAATGTGTTTCCTTTTTTTATTTCCACAAAGTAAATTTCCTGCATTTAATCCAGTTGTGACACCAGTTGAGAATTTTCCTTTGGGGTTTTCAGACGCGACAGTGCTTTCAGTCATGATGAGGAGCTCTGTGTTGTTCTCCCTGGCTGTCAGCTTTGCCATGTTTGGATTTGGTAAGAAAAAAGGGGTTGAAGAAGGAATCAGAATTGCTTTTGCTCGCTCTTTTTTTCCTTTCCCGCTCCTGAAAAGCGCAGCCAAGTGGGGCTAAGTCAGAGAGATTATATGTTTCGCAAAGAGAAAACATATCAGCCTGAGGGGACATTTTGGCACATCAGTGTGCAGCTGGCTTGTTCTGCTCCCTTGTCATGTGCCTGCAGTTCACACAGTCTACAGAGTCAGTGATGACTATTCATTCATCATGTTTCTTACGATGTTTCAGGACATAGGGCACTTTGCTTCGCGCACAGTTGTGTCGTAGCTTTTTCTCTGTTTTTTTTTTTTACATCATTGCTATACAAAATACAGCGGTACACTGAAAAAAATGATGTGTTGAATTTACTTAATTTTTTTTAGGTAAGTAAATGCACGAAATAAATGTATCTAAATCCAGACATATTTTTTAAGTAAATTGTACTCATTATTTTCAACTAATTTCAGCCTATTTTTATTTATAATTTCTGCTCAACTGTTTTGAGTAGAGTTAACTCAAATTTATTAAGAAATTCCAACTAAACCCATGTTCAGTTTAATCAAATGAATTAGGTAACTGTAACTATTCTTTTTATTTACATTCTAATCAATTTATTGTTTAAATTATACATACTAAAATTAAGTTTCATCAAATGAAATGCCATTGGTCAATATCAGTGTATTTTATTCAAAAAAAGCAAAGGGCATATTATAATACACCTTACATAATAATCTAAACAAAAGAAAGAACATTCTTTTCCACAACTGAATGTATATATATACACACATTACCTATACATTACATATATATATATACATTAAATGTTTATATGTACATTACATATATATAAACCAGTTGCTTTAACGCTAGAAGCCCCTCAACACAATCCAACAGACTGAGCAACAAATAAACGACACTATCAAAATCTTGTGCTACCTCTTATTCATTTTTCTTTAGATGGATATGTTCTTCTATTTTGTATGTTCTATAAATGTGTTGTATTTATTATCTTATCTTCAGTGCTTCAATGAGGTGTTGCAGACTCTTCAGGAGGCTTTAAAATCAAAAAGTTCCAACAGAGCTGTGTGTGTGTGTGTGTGTGTGTACTAGAGTACCAGTCATAATATATATGTATATATAAAAATAGAAAATAAATAAACAAACAAATCTCACATGCTCAACTAAGGCACAAATGTTGGTGTATTATAAAAAAAAAAGACCAAGTGCATTGGGAACAGACTTATTTGTCAGCGAATAAATCAAGACATAATGAAACATGTGACTTAAACCTCCAGAAACTTTTACTCTCCGATACTAGCAGAAGATGAAAATAGCAAATCTGTGTAGAGCCAGAACGAGACTAACTGTCACATCAATAAATGGAACAAACATCTTTTCAGTGTGCCATATATATATCGTTTACCCGGGTTTGACTGGTGCTTTTTAATTACGTCGACTCTTTTCTTCTGCAATGCAATGAGACCAGTTCACAAGAGTGGCTGAAGATTTCCTACAGTCCAGCATCTATTTTGTTCCTTAGTCCAAGGATTTGGGGGGAAAGCTTTTCAGCATCCATTCGAAAGAGCACTTTCTGAAGGAATTCGTAATAGTATCTTAGCTCTTTGGGGTAAGCCATGTTCAGAGCGTAGATGACTCCCAGCATCATTGCACAAGCGCGGGCCACAGATCCACAGTTGTCGAGAATGATTACTCCTTCAACGAAAATTCCAATGTCATCACAATGTCGCATTTCTCCACCCTCCTTGTTGATGACATATATACCCATGGTATGCTTTTGCAGGTCTCTCAGGATGTCATTTCCTTCAATGTCCTGTATGTGTAAAGAGAATAGGAGAAAAGAACACGATTCATGAAATGTATTTAATTTCAATGACGTATACTTTACTGTATGAACATTGCCACCATACATAATAATCTCTTAGATGAATCTGATCCCATTTTATATGTATTTAAATAAAACTATATATCTGTGAGGTGTTATTGAAGATGTACATAGGAACGACGATACTGTGCAGCAAGTTGTTAATTTTATATGAATATTCTCAACCGTCTGTCAATGATAACATGAACCTCTGAAAACGTATGTGGGTGACATTAGGATCTTAAAACATAACATGTGACAGGCAAATCCATCCCAATGACTTACTATATACTCCCAAACGAGCTGTCCCTCGTCCTCACCCAGGTAGATGCAAAGAGCCTTTAGGATAGCTGTCCTTTTCAGATTGACATCACTTGTCTCCTGTGTTAAAGAATTACAATTAGTAAATAATAATAAGAAATACATAAATAAGTACAACAATTTCAATAAACTGAACAATATTTATAAAATGTAATAACCTAAATGTACAATATAACTTAATGTTTTCATCATCACATATATACATGACATTTTACATGTCGTAATGATTGGTGTACATATTTACTTCTTGCAAAATCTCCAGATGTTTAGCTAGTTTCTGGCCAGCAACTCCTCCCTTCATCTGGAAGATGGATGTCAATTGGGCTAAATGGCTGTCCGACCGTGCCATGAAGGCAGATTCCAGTGGGATGGCTGTAATGCGTTTGAATTCAGCATGTATCTTATCAAAGAACAAAAAGACAAAATACAGAGTATTGGTGCAATATTCTGTTGTACAAAGACAAGAGGCACATTGGGAAAATAGCTAGCATGTGCTTACCTCATCGATATGGAAAAGTGCAGGCCAATCAGGATATCCACACTTAATATGAAGGCCACGTCCAAAATGACTATGTTTTAGTTTGTAATGTTTAAGAATCTTTGATCGCCTAGACACTTCAGCGCCACACAGTCTTTACACTGCCACATAAACTAGACAAACAACAAAGAGAGAAGAAAAAAAAAAAAATTAGTGATGATGTTTATACAGTCACCCGTGGTACTTAAAACTCCTGCACTGTAGAGCTAACAAAAGATGAGTAATTAATTTAAGTCATTGTTTGTCCCAGGAAACAAAATCATTTGCACAAAAGTTGTTGAGTGCCTACATATGATCAGTGGCAGATTTACTTTGCTCTCAGCGATAACTGCCCTATAGAGAGCAAAAATACCACAACATTACAGAATATTTATCCTGAGCAGTACTGCTGGGATCAGCATACCTGTGAAGAGTTTGTTTGTTAAATGTACTTACCAAAACTTTATGAGGTCCCCAAAGAGTTCCACATCACACCAACATCAGATAGAAAAAACTGCAAAAAAAATACAAATATACCTAAAAATACAATTCAGGTATTTATTTTAGGAAAAATAAGTAATGTTCAATAATCATTACTGACTTGGGTTAAGATAATGACTCAAATGAGATCCCAACAAACACATTTTGTATTTAAATAAACCCTCATATTACTATAGAAATGAGCAACAAATTGCAGAAAGGTTTCTTAAACATTAATTATTCATATATAATTTTTTTTATTCAAAAAGAATATATATGATTAGTATCAATTCTCAATTATTAACAGACAAAATACTGTGGGTAGGCTACAATAGTTAGTTAATTTCTAATGAAACCAGAGCTGAAAACGAAGCTAAACTATTTTGGCACGGCAGGCAACGCCAATATTATCCTACCCATTTAGTTTTTGGCCAACAACTAAAAAGTATTTTTTACCGGACGGTGGTCATGAATCGACCTTGCTTGTCCTCCTCTGTTATCTACAGAGCAGCTGCAGCTTACATTTCCCCCGCATTGAAGCGCATTTCCTCCGTGCTCTCAGAGCTACCTACATGTTTAAGCTAACGCTAGCTCATTAGTGTATAGCCGAGAAAAGGCACCACAAAGGGAAAATATACCACAGAAAAGAGTTGAGCAGAGCAGAGCCGCGCGCGACTCACGTAATGGCTGTTAACATTAACCCATTTGGCGCGAGCAGCAAGCGCACTTTTATCAATAGGATTTCAGTTTAGTTATTGTTCCTCCTAATATTACCGCACTGATAGGTTCAAGTTAAAAATACACTTAAAGTGGGTCCATAACGTTAAACCTTTCTACATGCCGAGAAAGCCGGGAAGGTGAAGCTACAAGCTATTAACGTTAGCTAACATTAGCTATCAGCTAGCGTTAGCTAACGTTAGCTATCAGCTAGCGTTAGCTAGTCAATTGACATTGGTTAGGTTCGACTTTTAGTGGCCACAAACTCACGAGAAAGTCCAACAAGAAAAGCATTTGATGCATCACGCATTTATATTGATATCATCGGCACCAGTTAGATAATTATTTTCACTTAAAACGAGTCTACTAATGCTAACCTAGCCTTAATGATGTAGGCAACATTAAGCTAACGTTAGCAGCTATAGCCTCAGTTAACATTTTATTAACACACAGCAGACAGCCAACTACTTTTCTAAATCCGGTTAAAGTGAAAATATAATACAGCCATGAATTTAAGATGTTTACTTACTGAAAACGTAGAGCCTTGGATATCCAGACAGCCAGGAGATATAGCAAATCTTTAAAAGTGAAAAAGATTCCCGCGTCCTCCAGGGGCGGTTTGTGGTCGCACATGCGCAGATGTGGAAGTTGAATGTGGTTGTAAAATGTACACATTTTTTTCATGTAACTTTTAAATGAAGGAAATAAGCTTTTTCTAAACCATGGAACAATGTGTTAAGATTAATTAAAAAAGATAAGTAGGATTCAATAACACGTTCAAATCAGTGAAATAACCTTGAATAAATCAAGTAATATTTAAAAGGGGTCCGAATCATTTTTTTCAGTGTATGTTTAGTTAAGGATTCAACAAAGTCTTGGATGATATTTGATAAGGTTTTCAGATATTGGCATCATTTAATTTGATTATAATTTCCATAAACGGAAGTCAAATGCACAGGCGTTTTGTCTGTGTCTTCTCTGGTGTGCAACTTTCAACGAGGAATCCATTAACGTTTTACTTCATAAAATCACACAATTTGATCAACCAAAACAAAAATATCATACAAGCAAATGCCTCCAATAGCTGACATTGATAAATACCTTATGTGAAATGACCTTATATTCCCTGTGGTAGTAAGGTCGGTATATATTTCTCCCCTCATGAACGTGACCTTGTATGCAGGAGGACCTACTGTCCCACTTGGGACTGAATAGCTGTGTGTGGTTTGTGCAGGCCTCTCGCTGCAGTGTTACTCCTGTCCTGACGGCTCCTCCCGCAGCTGTGAGGTCAAACAGGAGTGTAACCAGGGTGACGACAGCTGCCTCAAACTCACCAGTGGTGGTAAGCCTTGTTCAGGAATTAAAAAAAAAAAGATATATGAATAAATCTCTGGAACTTTCTCCCAGATCTCATGGACTTCACCAGAGGACAGATTTTGCTCTGTTGTCATGGAAATCCTAATGATAATAATACAGCTAATATGTTTGTAGGCAACAAAATCGCAGAACCTCATTGAGAGTGTTTCAAATATTTAATTTATTATTTGTCTGAAATGTGATGGTTATCTTGAGGAAAATGCTTCTGAATATTCGTTCTACTGTTTTTTTTCTTTGAACTTGTCTGCACCTGACCTTGAAATGCAATGTGCAGTTATAGGTTTATGTTATAATGAATATAATGCTCTAAATCTGTTGCTTTTCCACCCCTCAGGAAATACCTACACTGAATGTGGGAGGTACGCAGACTGTGACTTCATGAATCTGGCTGTCAGATATTCCCTCCCTGACTTTGAGTTTGACTGCTGTATCACAGATCTCTGCAATGGCCAAGAAAAAAGTGCCTTTCAGAAATTTAAGGATTTCTTTGGTTGACACATATAATCTAAAATCCCCCCAAAAAAGAAAGAAAATAAATACCGCCAAATGTAGATTATTCCATTAAACGCGGAAACTGTGGTACCACTAAAAGTGGCTAAACAATAAAGTCTTGAAATAAAAATATTGATGAAAATCAAATGTCTTTGAGGTCTGATGCTGAGGTGAGCGGAGCCTCAGTGAAACACATAAATAAATTCTTTATCTTTCTTTATAAAGTCTTCTGGTCATGTCTACATCTGATTAGTGTATTTCTATGTTCTATGTTTTTTTTTCTATGTTATATAGTGAAAGTTGTATTTACCTCACATCTTTTCACATAAATCATACATTTGACATTAATTTAAATGCTGCACTTGGTGGTATTCAGTACTTCATCCCGAAATTCGGGAGAAAACTTTCTTTGAATGTGAGAAGAGGTGGAAATAACACCACTACTTTTTGTATTAAAGTGCGATTAAACGTTGTGCAGCTTTCCAAACGTTCAGACCGAATTGATCAACATGAGCACAAGAGTGGTGACAGAGTATACGAAGCCTATTTGATACTCAAATAAAATGTGTCTATTTTCCATCATGGTAGAAAGGACAGTGAGAAAATACTGTGTAAGCGACGGGACAGACCCAGTAAACTGAGAATTGAAATTGGTGAAGCATAAGAAAAGCCTGGAGACATTCTGAAGAAGATCATTAGAGTCCAAAGTTGTGCGAGTGTCTGCTGCCGCCCTTGAACACGACTACAATTAATTCTCCAAACAAGCTGCTGTATTCACCCTCTGCCGATTATAGAATCATGTGAGGGTTTTTGCAGCAGTGAGTGGGAACAATTCCTTAATAGGTTGACTTTAATCAAAAGAACAGCATCTGTTACCTGAAACTATTTTTGTGTGCGTGGGTGTATGCGTGTTATTCTATGCTCGGCATGTCCTGACATCACACAAAACGAGACTCAACACAAAACTGATTTTTTTTAAGTTAGAAACTCATGGAATTTTAGGGAATTATTCCAAGTGAATGTACCTCAAAGCAACTGATGCTATTTCACACGAGCTGTGTGTGTGTGTGTGGCCATGCAACAATTCTGTCCAGGTGGCTAGATAATTAAAAACATTTCTCACACTTGAATTTACATTGAAATCTCAATGATAACATCTGGCTGAGCACAGGAGGAAAGGACCAGGTGTGTGTCTACGTGCGTGTGACTGAAAAAGAGCAACTAATATGAGCTGTGTTGGGTTGAATCTGTGATCTTTCGGTCATGTTATTGGAATATAACAAAGATGATGAATAATAAATGCACAAAAACAAGATATGCTTGCCTACATTTGCACTTGCACCCCTTCGCACATGTAGAATACCAACAAAACACACCCAATAAAAACAATGCTCCATACTGTCGCCGGTGGTCAAAAACTCCCCATGGTACCTTTTAAACTGTGGTGCGTTAAGCTCTTGAGCCCACTGTAACTTTTCCACCAAAGGCAACGGAATAGAAGTGGAGATCCATCATGCGATGGGATCGCACTAATTGCCGACTCTGAAATCGGTCAAGGGCTTGTAAAGCTGCCTTGACTGGACCACCCCCATCTTTCAACGCCAACTTAAATCCCACCTCAACTACACACCTGTATCGCTCCCTGACTGCATCTTACACGGCTGTGATGTGACGCAGGGACAGAATCCGGTCACCCTCGCAAGTTGAGAACAACAGAGTTTCTGCTCCATCTGGTGACGGAATAGGAAATGTGTCAATGAACAACAGTTTCTTTTAAGTTAGTGGGTTGTCGGTTTATTTGCTTGTCACGGCTGCTTGTCTGTGATCAAAACCGTCTTGAAGAACACGTTTCAGAGGCAGTGGTGGAAAGAGGAAAACACTGACGTCTCGGCCTGTCTGATCAGCCTGTGAGAGAGGGAGGGTGCGAAAGCTTCCCGCTTCAGAGTCGAGTGTGTTTCACAGAGGAGCCAGCAGCGTGACACAGAGTCAAAAGACAACAGCTGACACGCTGTTAAGCCTTTGTTGCAGCACTGAAATATACACAGAGCTGGATTCAAAGCCCCAAAGCAGACACATGAGTGTTGTTGCTGAGATCCATAAACAGCAACCACAGTCAGAGTATCAGCTGCTTTTTGAGAGGTAGAAGCCTGTTTTTTTTAATTAACAGCAGATGTGTTGGAAACTAGTAAATGTCTTAGGAAATAAGTTTAACATTTTTTTAAGTCTCCTTGTTCATATGTGATGCCTTAGGAGCTTCCTGTTTTTGCCACCTCTGCCCTCTTGCTATAGTCACGACGACCTAAGGCAATTCCTTTTAAATATATAAAGTTATTCACTGTCTTGAGAGAATTAAATGACCTCCCACAATTGAGAGTTTTTGTCATTAAAGCACCCTGTTTAACATTTATTGTGGCACCACCTGCTGCATTTCTTCTTTTATTTTTTATTTTTTCTGTCTAAAACTGCGTGTTCGGTGATGTTCATTATGACATAAAAGTCATATTGTAAATTTCTATTTTTTTTAATTCATTAAAATCTGTTATTTGAATATAATTCATAGGGAACGAGTACAAATGCAGATATAAAATCACTAAATAAATGTTGCTAATGAATTATGTTACATTTTGAGATCAGTCAGTCAACATCCAAGATACATAATATTGCCAGTGGGTTCATTGACGTAGAGAGTAAGATGAGGTTGACCCTCTTGGGATGTAAATATAGAGCTCCAGCCAAGAGCTAATTAGCTTAGCATTCTGATTACATTCTGATTACATTCTTATTGCAGGGGGCAACATTTGCAAGGTTTTGTTTTATCCAGCGAGACGTGCAATACAATCCAGGTAGGCTGAGTTGCTGTGTAAACTACCAACTTTGAGTTTCGTGTCTCATCACGCGCTCAAACACAGCACAATGATATACGTATAATTCTCAGAGACACATTTATAGACCGGTTGCACAATCATTTACGGTGGTAATAAACCAGTAATGCATGCTTGCCAGTATTTGCTCATTTAATCCTTCTCTTACCACCGGTTGCTGCCTTTATTAACAAGAATGCACACTTTTCTCCCCCTGTTGCTGTTGCACTGTTGCGCAGCATAGGATCGCCATGGAAACCAGAGCTGTGGAGGGCTTTGTATGTTTTTTTTCTCCAGTTTTTAAATATAATCTCCTCTAATCCTGGACCAATTAGTTTCAGACCAGGGCAGAGAGGAGGAACATCTCTCTCTCTCTCTCTCTCTCTCTCTCTCTCTTTCTCTCTCATCTCCCTTAATTATTTTATTTTTGTCTCTTTTCTCCAATACTCTCCCTCTCTCTGTCCAGCTAAATGGACCGCCAATATTTTTGCTTTAGGCGCAACAATTGCTGCACATAGACACGCACACATGAACACTTATACACCAGATCATCCCACATCAATTTGCTTCCTATTAATCCAATTACCTCTGAGAAATTGTTTATTTTGCTTGTCCTTCTGTTTTTCATGTCCTCTTTTTTGTCCTTTACTGGTTTCTTGGTCCAGTACTACTACTGTATATTCCCTTATAACAATTTATAATCACAGTGGATTTGCCTTCCAAGCCAACAATACACACACAATACATTTCCCAAAGCCAATTCACCACAATTTAGATTTAATGCCGGTCAAGCACTGACTGAGAGGCCTATCCGGCTTGTACTCAACAAACATATCAGTGAGTTACAAAAGCGAAGGTTCAGAGCGCTCAGAAGTCTTTCTTTGGTTTCAAACCCTAAACTAGAAAAAGGACCATGGGAGCTTGCAAACTCTTCTTGCTATTTGTCAGTATTCCAGCAACAGTTTGCGAATGAGGTTTTTTATTTTGAGGGACCACTTTACTCTACTGAACAAACAAACAAACATACATTACCCATAAGCCTCATGACATTTTTCTGCCTACATACATCTCACCTCACTGTTCAAAGCTCCGGGTTTGGTGTCTCTGTGCGTCTCCTTTGTGTGTAACCTTTGTGTGTGTGTGTCAACCCCAGAGGTATAATCTCTTCCCATTGTACGCCTGCTGTGCTTCTTTTGCCCCGAGATCTGAACCTCTACCCCCAAATGGGATACAGTGTGTGTGTGTGTGTGTGTGTGTGTGTGTGTGTGTGTGTGTGTGGTTTGTGTCCTCCCAGTGTGTGCACGTTGCAGATACCCCGGAGACAAACACCCAGTGGGATATCTGACGCACACATGCCTGAGGGCCTCCAATAGAGCGAAGAGTAAAAGACAAAGAACACTGAACCAAAATGTGTTTTTGGTTAACCAAGCAAATTGATTCGTGGTGAGAGTGAAAAACATCGAGATAGATTCATTATCAGGTTTTTTGTTGGTAGTGCAGATGCAATAGTATTAATACCAGTAATAGAAGATGAGGATGGACAATAAAATAACCTTTTCCAACATCATTCAAGGATTTAACAACGTCATTGCGTATAATAATTCATATTTAATTTGAATTATTTTAGTTAACAGTAAGGTTCATATAATTTGAACTCTCTCTTTCTGTCTCTGTGCCTTCCTCTACTTCTCTGACCAATTTCCTCTTTTCCTTACTGATAGCTAATGACCACTCAAGCGTGCAAGACCAAAAGAGCCAGGGTCAAAGGTGAAAGGAGGCTGTACCACGCCGCTTCAGCAGCTTGAGTGTGTGTGTGTGTGTGTGTGCTGAGATGAGTTCCCCTCAATGTGAACAACTGTTCAAAATCCACTTCAGATTCAGAGAGAACATCAGGGTGCCTTCCGACACACCCGGCAGCGCTGTAAGCTCTGATCTCAGATCAGCTCTCATGTTGGATGTATTGCTAGAGCCCGACCAATTGAACCGTGGGACAACATGTCTGGTTTGTTGGTGAAACGGTAGCCAGATGATGTCAAACACATGATCACGAGCTTTGTGGAAGGAAAAGAGATCACCCAACAACCAGTGATGCAAGCTAAGTAACATTTTCTGTATTGGGTTTTCTTAAATCACATGAATTTATTGAATGTCCTTCAAAACTCTGATACAAGAACTAAACCAAAGCAGCATTGACTCAAGGTCTCCAAATACATCCGAGACTCTTGATTTCATGACAACAAAGGAAAAGAGAGGTGATGTGCGAAACCCCACACAAACACACACTAACACACACACACTGATGGAAACACACACTCCCACCAGACTCCAGTCCCCATATGGACACTCTCCAGGGGGAAAA